TTAAATGTGAACTAAATCAAAATCAGAACTTTAAATAATACACATATTATTAATATAGAGAAACATAATGAAGTCATCTCAGAAAAATGCAAATAGTCATTTAAGGCTTTACATTAAAAATCAGAAATGAGGGATACAAGGCCTCCCAGTAGTGATTTCCTTAGATTCTGACTCTTATCCCCAGCACTAACACTTAAAATAACAAACAATATGAAAGACAAGACAGAAACCTGGTTTTATAAGCACCATCATTTCTGCTTTCATGAACTAAAATGGGCTAAACATTAATTTATCTTTTCTCCTTTTTTTTTCCCCTGTAATCAGAAGTCTCACTACATAGCCTAGGCTGGTCTGTATTTTGAGACCCTCCTGCCTCAGTCTCCAAGTGGTGAGATTAGAGACATGTTCTCCATGACCAGTTGAACTTCATACATAACTTGATCACTCTCTATATGAAACAAATGTTTTGCACTTAAAGACTGAGGTTGCTAGAGAGCTTTATCCACTCTTATGGAAACACACTGTGTTTATTTTCAGGACACACAAGTCACTGATATTGACTATATGGAAGACAAGAAAGACTTCACTTACGATGAAGCTACATTTAATGGACTCCCTGAATTTGTTCAGGATTTGCATAACAATGGACAAAAATATGTCATTATTTTGGTAAAGATACATGATGCACTAAAACTTTTTAATTATTGCATATTTGTAAGTTAGCAGATTGCCTGTAGTTTCTTTTTTCTATGTCAGGACCCTGCAATATCTATAAATAAACGTGCCAATGGAGCAGACTACGGAACATATGTGAGAGGAAACGAACAAAATGTCTGGGTGAATGAGTCAGATGGAACCACACCACTTATTGGAGAGGTAAATTCTGATACTGGTTAAAGTTGTATAGCCCTGATTTCCAACTCTTTAAAATCGTTTCTGTGAATATCTCATGTTTGTTCATTTATGTATTTGCTTTCCTGTTTGGATATAAATTGTAATCCTGAGGAGAAATTTTAGTCAGAGGAAACATCCCAATAATCTCTAAAGGATATATTAAAGTATTATATGTATTCGAGTATAGGAAATTTGGTGGGACATTAGTCCCACCAAATAAAAAATATATTTTATGACATTTATAAAAATTCAATACACAAGGGAAAAAGTAAATAGACAAGTTATTTAAAAACCTCAATTAAAATTAAAGCTAATAAATATAGGACATAATTTAGATACAGAGATTCTGAGATGTCTACATAGAAAATTTAATATAAAGTAATAACCAATATAAATTGGGTAACTATATACTTCCTCAAAAGAATGTGGTGTTCATTACTGAAATTGCTACAAGTAATAAAACTGAAATATGAAACTGAAGATTGCTAAAATCACAGAGCCAATTAAGAACCCAGTTCAGAAAGTGCCTAGCTTGTGTGTGTGTGTGTGTGTGTGTGTGTGTGTGCATCTCTGTATATATATATATATATATATATATATATGTATATTTGTGTATGATGTATGAGTTGGTGTGTATGTTCATGTGTATGAGTGTCACAGCCTGTATGTGAAGGTCAATGGATAACCTTGAATGTCCATTCTTGCCTTCCACCCTGTGTGAGATGAAGCCCCCTCCTGCACGTGCCAGGCTGGCTGGCTCAGGAACTCCCAGGGATTCACCAGTCTCCTCCTCCCATCTCACTTCAGGAGCACTGGGATTACCAACGTGTACAACTGTGTTCACTTTATGTGGGTTCTGAGGATCTGAACTCAGTCTCCATAACTATGTGGCAAGCTAAAGTACTCAGGGTTGATCAATCTCCCCAGCCCCTGATGCATACTTTTGTCTAGAATATTCTTTTTTGAAACTTTACTTATACGTCAAAACCCTAAATCATGACGATATACATTGAACTGGCAATTCACTTCTGCAATTTAATCAAAGTAAATAAAGCAGCATCAGGAAATATCAAACTTAAAGTGAATATCTATTAAAACTTGTCTATAACAATGAAGAATTCCCTATGCATTCTTACTTCAATTAACAAACTTGAATTTTCCGTGAGAAAATATTTTTTGCATTTCTCTAAGTTCTATGAAACCTACACATTTTCCTGTCTTTACTACTAGCTAATATTTCACAGAATATATTTTGTTAACATTTGTTAATATATTCTGCTGGATATGGACAGATCAGATAACAATGGAGTTTATTTGGACATAAAAATGTATAAAATTATCTCAATTTATTCAAAATAGAATTCTCATCTAATTCTATAATATGAATTGGTAAGTATTGCAACCAAATTTGAACAACATAAATCGTGAAGAGGCAGCATAGTATAGTCTACGTTTAACAGCCTGAGGTCAGATACTGGAAGGCCTGGGTTTGAATTCCTGCTCACTACCCATGAGTAGAGTGTGACATTGAACAACTTATTTAACTTCTCTGTGTGTCATTTGCAAGTGGTTTAATTGTATGTATACCACATCTGTACAATGATGGTTAATTAGTATCTATCAAATAAAGTTATAGTGAATATTATGCTAATAATTGTAAAATGCTTTGAAAACTTGGAAAAGTGTCTAGGATATATTGTCATAACAAAAAAGGGGCTTTTTGTCCTTGAAATCTTTTTTGAAGCAAATGTGTTTGTAAATGTACTAATGTACTTTTCAAACAAAGCAGAGATATATTACAGTTTTTTTTGTTGTTGTTGTTGTTTTGTTTTATTAACCTAACCTTCAGGGATACTCAGAAATAAATTTAGTTATAGCCAAAATATCAGCCTCATCCCATGTTTTTGTACTTTTCCCTGTCTAAATACTTTATAATCTTTCTTTTGTTTTAACTATTATCCTTAAAGGACTCAATATACATTTAAAATTATTTTGAATGTAGATTGCATAGGAGTTACCTATACCTCCAGAAGTACAATGTTATAACTTTGATGATTTTCAGTATTCTTAATTTCCTTTTAATTTTTCCTTTTATTCATGTGTACATGCAAATGATCTGTTCCTCCAGGTATGGCCGGGATTAACAGTGTACCCTGACTTCACTGGCTCCCAGACCATTGAGTGGTGGGCAAACGAATGCAGCCTCTTCCATCAGCAGGTGGAATATGATGGACTTTGGATTGTAAGTAGCTACTGTACATTAGTGAATCTACTGATTTTAGTCAATGAGCATGACATTATTTCTCCATAAGAACTTTATTATATATACATGTCTTTCTAATGTATTCCAAACAAAATTTAAAGCTTTTCTATCACACTCTAAAATAGCTATGCGTCTTTTATAGGGCCCAATTGAACACGTATTAAAAGTATAAATTTAAATGTTTTCTCTAGCAATGGGTATCATAATATACACATAATTTTCTTTTAATTTTATTTTTTTTATTTTTGAGAATCTCATGCATGAGTATTGTCGTTACATTATTTCCACCCGTCAGTCCCCACCAGCTCCTCTCAGGTCTCCCACTCCCTCTCAGCTTCTTGTCCTCTTCTGTGGTTATTATTGTTGCATGTACACCACACATTTATAAAATATATAATGCACTGACTCTATACTGGCATTTTCATATAGACCTATATTTGTGGTTTTCCATTTGGGATTAGATGACCTCTAAGGGAATTGTCCCTGGAGAAAACTGATTTTTCATCTCTCAGCATCAGTTGATTTTCTGTAGCTCTTCATCATAGGGTGGGAACCTGTGACATTCCCCCCCCTTACGCTTGGACATGTCAATTGTTTCTGTCATTATACAGATCTCATTATAATACCACACTCCACACTATGGAGATTTTACTGGTGCAGCTTTCCAATCAAATTTAGAATTGAGACATATTTTTATGGTCTATAATTTACATGCAAAACATTTAATGAAAATTTGAAAATAAGCCCTGGTAGCTAAATTACAAAAACACTTAGGAAAATCTGCAATAGACAATTGCAGTAACGTGAATTGGAACAAATGTCCCCATTTCAGAGGCTTTCTTTTTGCTAAGAAATAGAACAGGCTAAAATTGGCAATGGGTTGTATTTTGTCTCAAGAAACATTAAAACATAAATTCCTCGGTTACTTATAAAGTCACCAAAAGGAAAGCATATGGAGGGACCAAGCTACCTCAGGACTCTAGGCTCTGATTAAAGTTTAAAGTAAGACTCCAATAAGTCTGAACACTGGAGAACAGCAAAGGATTTTGGAAAAGCAGAACAAATCTTCAGATTAATGATGTTTTACCTGTATTTTTTGTTTGATTGTTAGAACTCTGGTGTTACTTTTGTAAAAACCTCATTGCACACTAAACTAGTTATTAATTTAATCAATAAATAAATTCTTTAAGACATTTATTTTTACCATCCATACAATGATATTGTATGTTTTGAGGAAGACAGGGGAAAGTCATGTTCGCAATGAAGAAATGGAATTAAGTAAAGCACAGCATCTTTTCGACTTCTGTGCTCATATCAGCAGAACATAGATGGACAGGAAGTTCAGTCTAAATTCAGTAAGATCACACAGTTTATAGTTAGACACCAGAGGGAATAGTAAAAAAAATTATGTGCCATGTCTGGGATTCAGATTTGATAGTAGTGATCAAATTATTAATTTTAATTAAAATTTCCTATAGACTTCATGTTCAGAGAGAAAACAGTGGTTCAATAGAACAGAATTGTAAGTGATAGGTTAGTGGAAAAGAGCTTGATTATGCTGTGACAAAGAATAACTTATTTCCAGCATCCTAGAAGACTGAATCGAAGAGAGGATGCCAGGTGGAAGTATATCAGAGAAAATCAGAGTTTTTCCACTATGTTGGTAACACGAAGAAATATAACTATAGTTCTCAAAAAGTAAAGTCTAAAGTCTAAAACATCAAAACTAGTATGTGTTCAGTGCTCAGAATAAGCAACTGCTTTTCTTTCCAGTTTTTTTTTTTTTTTTTTTTTTTTTTTTTTTGACTTTTTGAGACAGGGTCTCTACATAATCCCAACTGTTCTAACTCCCTAAGCAGACCAGGCTGGCCTCAGTCTCAGTCTCACAGAGACCTTCCAGCTGGGATTGAAAGTGTGGACTACCACACATGGCTTTGTTTCTAGTTCTTAAATAAGCAAACCTTACTGCTAACTTGTTTCTTTAGTGCTTTTATTTTCTTTGTGTTATTTTTTCAAAGAGAATGAATTTTCAATGAAAATGATGTTTCATATTTTATAAAAGTTTAAAAATGATTTCATAACAATAAATTTGTAATTTCATGTTAGTTTCTTATTTTAAGCTTAAATATTAAAATCACTTTCACAAACTATGCAAGCATAATTGTAATTAAAAATAGAATTTGAAAATCAAATATAATACACTTGAACATTTCTTCATCCTTTTCAGCATAATCAATTTCCTAATGTCTGGGAAATAGGAGCCTACCATGTTTGATATAATTAAGTCCCAAGCTATGATTCGAAAACAAAACTATTAGTCAATACATGATAATGCAAAGGACCTTTACTTTGCTCTGTGCAGGCAGGCATATACCTGTAATTGTGTTGTTATTATGGCTTCATTCTTAAAAAATTTACAGTCAGTGTTCTTCAATGATGAAATATAATAATTTAATATATAATGTCTGGAAACAAAACTCATTGGGAAGATATTCTCAAATGTGTTTTATGTACAAACATCTGGGAGGTTTTTGATCACATTTCCTGCAAGTTTAAAGTAATTTTCATAAAAAATTAAGTTTCACAAATTAAAAATTAAAAAATATTTATTTATATTATTTGTACATTAAAATAACTAGTATACTCATGAAAAAATTAGGTTCATCTACACTTATCATCTTGTAATATTGCTTCTTTATTGATTCTATTTGTTACAGAAAAACAAAAGTGAATATAATATTCTAGGCAATTTCAGGGAACAGCACAATGTAGCTTGAAATATAAAATGTCATCAGCAGTGAAGGAAGAGGAAATAAATATATATTTAACCTAAATTTTATGATATAAAATCATGTGTTTGTATTTAACATCATCTTTTTTCAGTACAAAGTTTCATTTAACCAGTTATGATTTTATTATTCATAAGTAAGGAGAAAAGTTTTGGACCTTTATTTAAATGACTCAAAAATATCCCTTAGTACAATCATCCATCACTCTTCAAAAACTTTGGGTAACAAGTTCTCAGAATAAGAATGAGCCAGCTCAGAGTTTCTTGAAAAAAACTGTGAGGTTTCATGAGATCATCCTATTTTGATTAAAATCTTAATAGAAATGCGGGAGGTGAACAGGAACAGGAGCTCCCTACCCCCCCCCCCCCCCCCCCCCCCGCCAGTAGATACCTTTGTTTCCCAAAGCTGCCACATTCCTGTCACCTTTGCCGCCCTTGTTACCTGTAAATTACCATTGTTATTTACCTTAGGCTTGCATTCCTCACAGATGAGTATAAATGTCCCCCAAAATTTGAAAAATGGGCTAACATCTTTATGGATGGAATTATCCGTGCGTCAGTCCCCCTATCCTAAGAATAAACTCCCTCTCCTCATCTGTAAACAACAACAACAACAACCAAAGTTATTTGCTCCTCACCTTCCCTGTTTTCATTCCCTGATATGCATTTAGGAGCTCTGGACCAGGGAAACCAACAAACAATGTGATGATTGAGTGACGAAAACTAAATTTATGGCGGTTGTAACAAAACATACTGAATGCATGAATGTTCTGGGAATAGGTTTAACAAGAGAGTCGATGTTAAATACATGAGCTTTGGGTTCAATTATAATTTTACAAAAAGGGATACATTTGGGGCATTTAAAAATACTTCAGTCCTGAGCTGGAGAAATGGCTCAGTCCTTAAGAGCACTGGCAACTGCTCTTGCAGAGGACCTGAGTTCGGTTCCCAGCGCCCACATGGCCACTAACAATTGTAACTCCAGTTCCAGGCAATCCACTGTTCTCTTTTAACTGCTGTGGGCATTGCAGGACACAGGTATACTTACAGACACACAGGCAATATATTCGTACACATTAAAAAAGTGATAAATAAAAATATAAAACTCCCTCAGTCCTGTCTAAGATACCTCTGTCAGCTAGTTTATGCACCCCCTTTTTAGGTCTGTAACATATATGTATACATCACCCCTGAGTAAGAAAATCTCAAGTTGTCTCAGATAATTTTTTTATAGCCAAAGGTACTTCTGTCTGCATAATTTGTAAATATTTATCTTCAGTTATTTGTCATTTTACATCCATTCAGGACATGAATGAAGTTTCCAGTTTTATTCAAGGTTCCCTGAAAGGATGTGCTGTCAATGAATTGAATTATCCACCTTTTACTCCAAGTAAGTCTTATTTAATTACCTAATTAGCATAGCTAAGTAATTATAATTTTGTTCACTGATAAATTCTAGAACATATTTCTAAATCTTAAAATTTGGTATAATTTTTAATCCTGAAATCAATGCTTTTTCTTTCCTTTACCCAAATATTTTAAACCACTGATTACATTTATTTATTTATTCATTTATTTCTGTGTATGTTATGTGTGTGTACATAGTTCATATGTGCTCATGTATGCATGTGTGAATAAAATATCTTTCTCTATTGCTCTCCATCTATTTGTAAATTTTTATGTTTATTTATTTTTATGTGCGTCTTTGTAAGTTCTTACGTAGATGTACATGTGCTCACATACCTATGCACATTCACGGAGGCCAGAAGAGGGGCTCTGTTGTCTGCCTCTATCACTTTCCATCTATTACATTGAGTTAGGGTCTCACCTTAAACCTGGGGCTTACATTTTGCTCAGCTCAGCTGGAATCCAGTAAACCCCAATGATCTTCCATAACCACCCTCTTGGAACCTGGACTATAGGCATTTACTGAGCTCCCAGCTTGTACCATGGGTTCTGGGATCCAAAATCAGGTCTTCATGGTTATACAACAAGCTCTTGAAATTATTCAGTCATCCCTCCACCAAACACTGACTTTGTTGAGAAGAGATTTTTAATAAATTTGGATTGGCTAGACTATTTGAACAGAGAGCTCTGGAGATCTACATATTTACGCTTCCCCAGTGCTAGGATTATAGGCACTAGCCATCATGTCTGACTTTTATGTAGATGCTGGGATTCTCAACTCAGATCCTTTTGTTTGTGTGGAAAGCACTTTATCCACTGTGCCATGTCTCCACCCCTAATTACAATTACATTTAAATCAACTACTGTGCTATAAATGTCTAAAACTAGTGTTTGGACTTAGGTTGCACAGTATAGATGTATAAAATATAATATACTCATCAAGAGCTATTTTTCATGGATTCTGTTTATAATTAAAATGAGGAAATATTAGTTCTTATTAATATAAAAATGAAGCTATTTTTTTCCCGGCCTTCACAGGAATGAAGTGCAGGGAAATGACTGGATACTGTTTAAATAATTTTAGTCATTCAAGATTTTTTATTAAGTATTTTAGAATACATTATAAAAACAAATACAGAGGTTAACATAACAAAATATTTCATAAGAATATTCTTAATACTTTTTCTCTAAGGCATTCTTGACCAACTTATGTATTCCAAAACACTCTGTATGGATTCTGTGCAGAGCTGGGGGAAGCAATATGATGTTCATAGCCTATATGGATACAGCATGGCCATAGCTACAGAGAAGTAAGTGCAATTTCATGCAGAAACTCATATTATCGTTTTTATAAACATCATGTTTCTGGAAATGAAGCAATTTAATAGAAAGTAGGAAGATTAGGATAGAAAAGAAAAAAATATTTTCATGTTAAAATTTCACGGCAGTAAAACATCTGTTTTTATTAGTATTGAATGAATTTGGATTTAATTTACCAAGAATTATATGACACATATATTTATGTAAGATTTTCTTAACTCATAGATTGTTTGCCATTTTGGGAAAACAAAAACATAGTTGTTTTCTACTCATAAAGTTCCCAAATTGAATTAAGAACGTGGTTATTCAACAACAGCTCTTGATTATCCCCAAACAAGTGTTTCAATTAAACTGTAGTTTGTAAGTAGTAGTTCAAAAGTTATTTTCTAATAAGGTAATTGCATAGAATACAAAACAGAAACTGATGACCACCACATGTTGATTTTCTGTTGTTTTGCTAGTATTGTGTAAGTTTTCGCAGTGAATAGCTGATAAAACTGAGATCCTAGTAGCCATGTAGTTGTAGTTTTCTCATAATTTAAAAAATGTGTTGGCGCATGCCTTTAATCCCAGCACACGGGAGGCAGAGGCAGGCAGATCTCTGAGTTCAAGGCCAGCCTGGTCTACATAGTGAGTTCTAGGACAGCTGGAGCTACAGGGAGACCCTGTCTCAAAAAGACCAAAAAAAAAAAAAACCCCAAACAAACAAACAAACAAACAAACAAAAAAATCCCAGTGTGGATGCTTTTATGGTGTCAAATCACACTATGTATCAAAACTTTTATATACTGTTTTCAAAATGCTATTACCCCTCTTTTTAAAAACTCAGTATAGAAGGATATACCATATTTTGTTAGTAATAACTTTAATTTAAAAAAAACTATTTATTTATTTTATGTGTAGGAATGTTTTGCATGCATGTGTGAAAGGATCCACATATGCAATGCCCTCAAAGTCAGAGGAGTGCATTGAATCCCCTGGAACCATAATTACTGACACATGTTAGTTGCCATGTGAGTGTTAGCAACTGAAGCTGGGTCTTCTGCAAGAGCAGCCAGTGCTCTTAACTGCTGAGTAATCTCTCCAGCCCGCTTAGTAATTTTTTCTGACACAAAATAAACACCTTGTGGTTCAATATAATACAGAATATAATATGTCAAAAGCATGTGAGGATGTCATATTCTGATGAGAATCTGGTGGACTTCATATATTTAAGAACTTTTAAAACTATTTCTGAGAGAAAATGGTCAGTAACAGCCAGGTGGCAATAGGGGAATCAAAAGCAGTGCTAGTATGTGTGGGTAGTGGCTAAGTTCTAGAGACTAGACAGAAAATGTTAAAAGTGTTTCCTCTACATGGTTATGCATTTTCTGCACAAGTTTTGTGCTTTCTTGTTGATAATTTGTGCTTTAGAGCTGTGGAAAAAGTGTTTCCTAATAAGAGAAGCTTCATTCTCACACGGTCGACATTTGCCGGGAATGGAAGACATGCTAATCATTGGCTGGGAGACAATTCTGCCACGTGGGAGCAAATGGAATGGTCCATCACTGGGATGCTAGAGTTTGGTCTGTTTGGGATGCCTTTGGTAAGATGGTTTAATATTAGATGAAATATAAGAAGAGAGAAGTCTGCACATTGCTAAAGTAGAGAAAACACATCATAGGAAATTCTGAATGCGAACTCTGATGAATCTGACTTAAATATTCAATGAAGACATTCATTACTAAAGAAATGCATTACTTAATATATGCATAGTAAGAATTTATAGCAATTTTTCCTTTCATATACACGAATCAAATGACTACTCATAAAATTAATTAATTAAAATCACTTGCACATGCAATATTACATTTTGAACTTAAATATTCACAGTAAATTGCCAAGCAGATCTCTGAGAAGCAAAAACAAAACAACGCCCCCCAAAACATTGCCATAACATGCAAGAGCCAAACACTAGGCTGAATGGAAAATGAAGAAAAATCATTTTATGATTAATCATTTATAATTTTATTTCTTAACAAAGCTTGTATGGGTTAAATGTCTTAAATGGAAGACATTGGTAGTCTAAAATACTAGAATTTAAAAAAAAAAGACAGAGCATAGTGGACATGTCCCTATCCCAGGTCTCGAGAAGCTAGGGAGGGGAATCTTACTTCAAGATCAGCCTAGGCTTCAAACCCATTATTAAGTACCAGGACAGTCTGGACTGCAAAGTAAGACTGTCTTGATTAGAAAGCAAGAAAACAAACAAACAAACCAAAAATAATCAAATATAAAAATCAGATATATACAATATAAATTTTAATAATAAATTTAAAATATAGGAAAAGAAAAATAATATGAATGTAAGTTCATTGAAAGTGTAAATACAATTCCTCTATATAGAACATTAACTATAAAAATTGAATTTCAATAGGTTTTGTTTATAAGTGACATACAGTAATATTAACAGCAGATGTAGGACTTCTATTATCTTGGTTTTATTAATGTTTTTATATATGTCACTATATTCTGTGCTTATTAATTCCTCTCCCCTACTGCACTCACCCATCTTCCCTAATGACAATCTTTTTATTGTTTGAGAATTTCATGCCACGTATATGATATGTTTTGATCAAGTCTGCCTCCCATTCCTTCTTCTCCAGCTCCTCCTATATCCCTCCACCCAACACTTTTCCCTCCCAATGTCATGTGTTCCTCTTTTAAATGCACTGAGTCCACTTAGTGCTGCCTGTTTGTACATGGGTGTAAGACCATCTATCCGACCATGGGTGGTTTCTCAGGGGCCTCATCCCTGAGGAAACAACAACAACAACAACAACAACAACAACAACAACAACAACAAAAATCAATTATCCCTCCCCCAGTGGCCAACAATTGCCAATAACTCCTCAGCAGATGGTGGAACTTCGTGATCCACTTTCCTTTTGATGCTGGGATTTTGGTTCCTAGCTTCACCCACGGTTAACCTTCTTTATCTGAACAGTGCCTCACTGCTCCCATGCCAGCTGCATTGTGTGGCCTTACCTTTTTCCCTTCTCTCCTCTCTCCCCTTAAGGTCTGTAGAGGAAGAAAATACTAACTTATTACTAAGTGAACTGAAGACTTAACACATTCACGAATAGGAAGAGTTGTTGCAGGGGAGTATTCAGTTTCCCCAAATTGCAAACCAAATTCATTGAACATAGATTCACCCTACTAGATGAAGGAATTAGTAATTAATACGATGATAATGGTCTGAAGCCATTCAGTTATGCTTCCCAGTACAAATAAAGCACAGGCCCTATATGGATGAATACTGTTCGTATCTGAGGAAAGAAACAGCTGTTCATACATTTTCAAAACAAAATACCATGTTTCCATTTGTCATATACAAAAAGCCATCCTAGTTATAAAGAGACAAATATGATTAAAGTTTAATCCTTGAAGAGGAAAATTTAAGAGGATAATTTATGACATTATGTTAGAGAAATAATTTCTGAAATAGCACAGTGGGGGCAAATTATGAAAGAATGGAAAACAAATTGAAATCTAATGAAATTAAAAGTTTTACTAATTCAAAGATATTTTAAAGGTTAAAAGTTGAAAGCAGCCTAGACATTTGGAAATTGTATTCTCAAGTTATACACTCTTAAAAGATTAATGCTGAATTATACTGCTTATTGGAAATCTTTGGATAATGAGATTATAAAATTTGTGAAATTGTGTATATGGCAATGAATTGAGAAGGGGAATCTATATGTAAGCAATTAAATATATCACAAAATCTCAATTTCTACAGAAACGAGAGAAATTAAAGCTAAACATTGGTGAGAAAAAGTTCATGCAAAGAGGAGGTGAAAATTGAATCTAGTTAATTGAGAATTAATCTGAAAATTAATAATGGGAAGTTTTGTCTGTTGTTATAGTCTATAACATGGTTAAATCAGCTCTGACAAAACAATGCACATTTCAAAAAAAAACATAAAATAATCCTGTTTATGTGCCACATAGTAAATGTTTTATAGTTTAATAAAACACATACACATAAATATTGCTCGTCCTGAGACCCCATAAAAATAAACCAGAAAAGCATTGATAGATTTGATTCTTACATGGGGAAAATATATCACAATGTCCAAAGAAGGTCTGTGTGAAAATTAAGAGCCAAATACAAGTACTATCTATTGTGTATACCAATATTTACATTTATGTAGAATAATTTTAAAAAGCGTTGGTAATTAATGATAAACCACAAACCATTTTTTTTTTTCAGAAGCCATGAGTAAGGGTCATAGAATCTTATCTTGGAGTACTTTAGATGTATCTCAGTTTCACTCTGAAACTGTTACTTCATAAGTTCAGCATGAATACTCACTCAAGTCATTTACCCTACTATATTCTCCTGTTTCATCAACATTCTTTTGGATATCAATTTTATTGAGAACAAATAGTATTCAACTGCACGAGAATGAAAACTTCTATGTTCATGACTAGAAGAAAAGGAAAGCATTAAAATGTTCTCAGACTACTGTGACACTGAGGGCAAATAGCACTGAAATATGAACTGACAAGTATTTAATGTATTTAAGATTCAAATGTTCATAGCTATCATTCTAAGAAGCACTTTAACAAAAACTTCTGTGTTTTGTTATTCTTTCCCTGAAAGGGATCATTTTTCAGATATATTAGCTATCCTAATGTAAATAACTTCATAATCCAGCATCAAATGTATTTTTTAACTTTAAAACTCTTTGTTTCATACCAATAGTACACAAACCAAATTAAGGCATACCGAAGCATAAAAGATCATAACATTACACAATTTGATACGAAATACCTCAGAATATTATTAATTTGTGATTGTATCAAAATATAAAAGTTCTATACTATTTATGTGAGATTTAACTCTGTAATACATCCCATAATACATGCCTCCACTTTTCCTGTGTAGTGTGTATTTAAAAGGTTCATTTTTGAATAAAAATACAATCATATATATTATAGCCACCATGACAAAGGAAATAACTATGCTTTAAAAAATCCCTTCTAGTTCCCTGCAGAAAGACTCATTGTTTTTGCTACTAACACAGAGATGTTGGCTTACTAATACATACATTTGTTTACAAATGCATGTGTGTACATTATAGACTTGATTCCAAAGAGGGAAGACGTGGTTATTTACTTACTGTGATTGGGTGACTTCACTTAATTTCATACATTCTTGGCCCATGTATTTTTATGTGAATTTTATGATTTCATTTTTCTTTGGAGCTTAATCATATTCCATTTTGTAGATGTAACATATTTTCATTATCTGACTATATTCTTCTAGTGATGTAGCACAAAAGGACCAATCAAAATAAAAATATATTTTAATATAATTTCATTTTATAGAATGAATTATATCAATCATGAAAACATAAAAATAATTAATATGACTGAAAATTATGAAAAGTGAATATAATACACAAGAGTAATGCAGAGACTGGTTTCACAAACTTGTATATAGAGCAATCAAGACTCTGAGACAGGAGGATTGCTGATTCCATGCCAATGTCACTTTCACATGATTTTACTGTGTGTATATGGGAGAGTCAAAGAGAGGGACAGAGACAGACAAGTGAAGGAATGAGGGATGGAGAGTAAGGGAGGGAAATGTTAAAGAAAAGGAGGAAAATTAAGAAAGGACGGAGGTAGAGCGGAAGGAAGGAAAGTAATGTGGTTAGAGGAAAAGAAGGACCAAACCTGGAGGACAAATTGTTTGAGGGGAAGTGAAAAAAATAAGACTGTGAATGATACAAAGTAATTGATACATAAATTTGGATGTCCAGGGGACCTGGAATCTTGACACTATGACTAACAGAAGTTATTGTTCAGGTTGGAGCAGACATCTGTGGGTTTTTGTTTGACACCACGGAAGAGCTTTGCAGAAGATGGATGCAACTTGGAGCATTTTATCCATTTTCTAGAAATCATAATGCTGAAGGCTATATTGTAAGTTACACTTGCTCTTCAGTTTTTGAAATGTACATAAACATATTTAAATAATGTTATTTTTGTGGTTAAAACTTTAGCTCTTTCTTTCTTTTAATTTGTTTTTAGTGTTGTATTTCACACAGAATATCTCAAACAATCTGAATCTTTATAGCCCTGTTCCCATTAGAACCCTCCCATAGTCCCCCCACTGGAACCCATATACTGTGTCCTGGGTGTTAAGGCCCACTGTGTCAATTCTGTGTCCCTAAACAGTCCCCATGGAAGTCCATTCCACTTGTGGTCTAGTCAGATCCCTCTCATCTGTATTTGTAACATATTTTCTTAAAACAACCACATGAAAAGTGTGTTAAATTGCTAGCATTCTATCCTCATTTGTGTTTTCTGCAAAGTGAATGGCATGCCAGAATTAACACAGGTGGTGTGGTTAGAACCAATTCACCGTTCTGTTCTGGGTCTGGTGAAGCTGGCAGGATGGTGGTGATTTGGCAGGGAGACCCACATAGCAGTTCAGCTTTAATAGGCTCTGCCAGGTTGTTGAGGGGAGAGCTTAAATAAAATGTGACCCTGCTATCACAGCAATACCACTGTACTCACTCAGTGGCTGTGATTTGTCAATAGAAAATATGATAGCAGTGTAAACATAAAGGCAGAACCTCAGTAGATTCTGTGACTTGACAGCAGGTGTAGGCTGGCTTTCCTCCCACAGTGTACCTTGGCTCAGACAGACAGTTGATATCATTAGGTAGAGGATCTGTTGGTGGTCTCAGGAGAAACATTGAACTTCAAGGCTGGAGTTTACTCCAGGAAACTCTATTGTCTCTGTTGTCCAGCAGACTGGGCTCCTCCTAATGGAGTTAGCAACACACAGGACAGCAAATCCTTAAGCAAGCAGATTGTAGGCATTTGCTTAAATGTATCACATGCACTAACATCCCATGGGCCAAAGTACCGCATATAGCTAAGCACAATTCAAGTGTAGATACTCTGTGTGGACTGGTGGGGCTGGCAGACTACTTGGCAAAGGTTGTGGTGTACAGAAGTGGGAAATAGTGCAGTTATTCCCAAGCAAGTAAGAAATCAAAAGCTTATATTTGGTTGTTTTCATTTTTTAAACTGTGTATTTAGATGCAAAATGTTCACTTTAAAGAGAGTTCAATTAAAACACAACTAATAGAGAATACAAAACCCTAAGAATTGAGACATGAAAAGGGTAAAGTAGGATTACTTTAAAATTTTCATAGAAAAACTCTAGTTCATGAAATGTGCTTTAAAAAAGATTAAATTGCTTCCATTTTTCATTTTCACTTACACTTTTCCTTCCTTGTTTTGATTTTCTTGCTATCTCACAGGAACAAGATCCTGCAGTTTTTGGGCAAGATTCCCTTTTGGTTAAAACATCAAAGCACTACCTAAATATTCGCTACACCTTGCTGCCTTTCCTCTACACTCTGCTTTATAAAGCCCATGCATTTGGAGAGACGGTTGCAAGGCCATTTCTTTTTGAGTGAGTATTATGAGAGTTATGCAGAAGAATTACAGCTTAAGGACTTGGAGAGCTGACTCAGAGGTTAGGAGCAACTGCTTTGCAAGCATAAACACCTAAGTTCAAGTGCCTAGCACCCATGTAAAAATCTGGGTATGCCTGCTCTTGCATGGAATCCTAATATCAGAGATCGGCAGATCGCAAGAGCTAGCTGGCCAGCTAGACTAGGCTAAATGGTGAGCTACTGGTTCAGTGAAAGACCATAATCAAGACAATTACACAGACAGAAATAGAGCAAGTCACACTACTCTGGCCGCTGCATGCACAAGTGGACATGCACTTTGCATATACACATACATGTAACATACACAGGAAATATAATTGAACATATTCAGGGACATATAACATTAACAGAAATAAACAAAGATATAAAATATATCCAAGATGATTATTTTTGCAATTGCACGCACACGTACATATATGCTACTTATGGCCCCAATCGTACAGATAATTTAATTACTTTATTTATTATTTTAATTTTATGTGTATGCATGTCTTGCATGCATGTATGTAAGTGTAACCATGGAGATCAGAAGAAGGCCTTGGATTCCCCTGGAAGTGGACTCACGGATGGTTGATAGCTGACATGTGGGTGGTCAGAATCAAAACTGGGTTCTCTGCAAGAGCAGCTTGCGTTCGTAACCACTGAGGCATCTCTCCAGCCCCAGTAAAGATAACTTTATAAATCTATTATGCATACATATATATGTGTATATATAAATAACTTACTCTTGTTTTTCCCCCAAATGAATTATATTTTGGGGGAAGACAAGATTATGTTATAATTCAGAGAATTTAATAGAATTTACAAAGAAAATTGTAATTACTATATTAAGAAAGCATGTGTGGTGGTACACACCTTTAATCCCAGTGATCAGGTAATTCTCTTTGAGTTCAGACACATCCTGATCTACATAGTGAGTTCCAGTCCAGCAAGGACTATATGGTGATATCCTTCCTCAAACAAACAAGCAAGCAAACAAACAAAAGTCATTTAAGGAAAATGTATTAGTATGAAAGATCTAACCTAAAATTACTGAAAATACAATAGCCATATATTATAAAATCAGCTAAATGTAGATCAAGTGTGTGCTATAGCTACAAATGTGTGAATTGTCCTTGTACGTCATGAACAAAACAGGACTTTATAGGAAAAGTAAAACCTAAAGTCTCTTTTAAGTCCATACTAAAATTTTAAAAATATTTTATTTATTATTTTATGTATGAGTATATTGCCTGAAGTGCCTAAGGAGATCAGAAGATGGCATTGGGTCCTGGGAACTGGAGTTGTAAATTTTTGCTAGCTCTCATGTGGGTGCTGGGAATCAGACCCTGGTCTCTGCAAGACCAGCCAGCGCTCTCAACTGCAGAGCATCTCTCTAGACCAATATTAAAATTTTTGAGGAGAAATTTTAAAAGGAATTAGACTTTGAAATAATTCTGGCCATTTAGCGACCCCTCTATAGGAAAAAAGTAAAAAAAAAATATGCATATTCCACATTAAAGGATTCGTATTTTCTATGATAGATTTTTTTCTTCTGAGTATGGAAAGAACTCATGTCATCCATCCCTCTTCCTCATCCTCTCTCCCTGACTTTTTTCCTGACTGTCAGCTAAAGTACTTAAGAACTATTCATTCAGAATTACAAACCAAAACAAATTTAAAATGAATACTGATTCTCAGGGAAGAACTGAAAAGATAAAGCAATTGAGAAATTTGGGTTTGTTTGGTAATTTTATAACTAAATGTCGTTGCTGTTAGATTTTATGAAGACACCAACAGCTGGATTGAGGACACCCAATTTCTATGGGGCCCTGCATTACTTATCACTCCTGTTTTGAAACAGGTAGGATTTACACATTTAACATATTTATTTTTTATAGGCAACTATTTTTTTATAGGCAAATTCATATACCCAAATCCTATGTCGTTAAGAAGCACGTCGGTAACACATATTACCCAATGAACTATTTCAGCCTTGTAAGTTCTCACTGAAACCTAAAATGCTGAGTTTTGTGGCTCCAATTTTTAAAATCTTTGTGTTCATGGAGTTACATAAAATTGAATATTTTTATATCACAATAAGCATGCTAGTTATATCAACAAACTAAATGCACAGATTATTTTAATTGCACACTAAATAAGATCTTTACTTCTTGTATTTGATTTTACATTATAACATACAAAGCTAGTATAAGAACAAATAAGAACATTTTCCTCTTGAAAAATGGAAAACCCTATACAATATTTGACAAGGTCCTCTCTACAGATGGTCTATAGAAGGGGTACTCCAATTGCCTCACCCTGCATTGCTGCTCAGCAGGGAAGAAGCTAGAGGGGTCTGTGTCCCTATTCCCTATTGGCAATTTGGGTAACCTCTTCAGAGGATGGTGTGATAAGAATAGGAGGTAGGAATTGGCTAGGCAGTTAGGGTAAAAAGACCCCAAAGAAATGCAGCCAGTTTCTTGGCTAAAAGTCAAAATGTCCTTGGGCCTGTTAGCAATGTACTCTTTTCCAAAGGCCAAAAACGTCAAAAGTATTTGGGAGTTTGTATCTAATCCTTAAAAGATTTTGGGGTTACCTCTTCAGAGGGAGAAATGTTGGAGGGGAGGGAGTAGGCATGGATTTGATCAAAACACCTTATATACGTGTATGAAATTCTCAATAAATTTTTTGTAAAAGTTAAAAAAACTGAATAAAATTTTAAAAATTAAAAAAAAAAACAAAAAACAGTTGATGTAGCCTGGCAGGATATGATGAAACTAAGGAAAAGAAAAGAAAAGAAAAGAAAAAAAAGAATTGGAATTTCAAAAATGTATATATTATTTTCTGTGTGTTTATTGTATATTGTATAATTATGTTGATTATCTTTAATTTAGGGAGCAGAGGTTGTGAGTGCATACATCCCTGATGCTACGTGGTATGATTATGAAACTGTAAGTAAGTTAAATACGTCCACAGGTGGGCAAGTGCCTTCCCACACACTGCATATATATACTTGGATCTTCTGCAATTACAAAAAAAAATTGTTTCCATATCAGATAGCTTTGAAAAATTGGTGTGCAATTCCTCTTCATTACACATGAGCCCTATTTTTATATAAAGTTATATTCTTTAGCATAGAAATAAGTTATTCATTTAAAAATGGAATTAAAGGAGTACTTTAGAAGGGAATGGGAGCTTATTTTATTGCTTTTTCCTATTCAACATATTTTTCTTTCTGTCAGAAAAATTCCTGAGCTAGCTTACATATTGTTTATATGGTAAGTTAAAATTCTTTTGGACTTTTTTTCATTGTAAACATAAAAGGAAAATAGCATTCAAACAAACAATCCTTTCTTTTTTTAGCTTACTGAACCGCTTCAGAAATATTCACTTTAAAAATTATTACAATCCTCTGGGCATGGTGGCGCATACCTTTAATCCCAGCACTCAGGAGGCAGAGGCAGGTGGATCTCTGAGTTCAAGGCCAGCCTGGTCTACATAGTATGTGCCAGGACAGCTGGGGCTAAAGGGAGACCCTGTCTCAAAAAACAAACAAACAAACAAACAAACACAACAATAGTAACAACAAAACACAATTAGTAATCTTTGATGATTATTTAATCCCAGTCAACAGCCCTGAACACATCCCTAAGCGGACTCAGTGCTTTATATATGTCTATTCATAAATGTATGTATGTATGTATATGTGACAATAATAGCCAAAGAGGACAAGAAATTGTGAGGAAGAAATGGAAATCGGAGGAGCTGGAGGGGACTGGGGGAGACAAAAATAATGTGAATACAATACTCATGAACAAAATTATCCAAAAAAATTTAAAAATTTAAAAACTACATTAAGGACTTTCAAAAGGAAGCTAACTTTATTTTATATTGATCACCTTCCTCGTACTTATTGTTTTCAATATAGTTTATAGACTAACATGCAATAATTATGTAATGGACAAATCAGTTTTGTCCATTTGCATCTTAATTCCTTTACATAATGCTTTGATTGATGCATAGTATGTTTACATCTTAATGAGTCCAATCTAATATTTCAGTACATATGAAACTCACATACTAATCAAACAAATACAATTCCCTTTTTCATCCCCTTTTCATTACCTTTTGTTCAGCACCTTTGAGATTTTTCTATTAATGATTATTCATAACTTAGAAAATGAGATATTTGAAAGTATGATCCTTAGTTTTGAACTACAGTAGAAAATAGGGCTCATCTAACTGGTTTTGGTATTTCTAAACCAACCCCAATCTTCCCTTCTTCTGTGAAATAGCATGGAGTTTCCTCCAAAATATGTTGATAGTTTAACTTTGTGATCCAATTATAATACTTTGGAACATTTACCAAAGACAATGCAGGAATTTGTCATTGTTTATTGTTTATTGTTTATTGTTGCATTATTATAATTGTTAATATATGAAATCATAGACCTGCATATTCATTAAATGATAAACATATAAAGAAAATACAACATATTTCCTGTATACATGCATAATGTATTATAGTCACACATGAAAATGGTGAAATCCTGTCTGTTACAACACAGTAAATGGAACTGGAGGACATTACAATGAGTGAAACAGGCCAGACAGAAAGACAAATACATATTTTCTCCATTACGGAGATGTGAGTCTGAATGAAGAATTACAATTATTCTAGGTATGTTCACTTTATAACTGTTTAAAAAGTGGGCATAATTTGTTAATTACTGTAGAAAGGAAACATTTTAATCATTTTTATGTTTTAGGGAAAATGAACTTATTTCTCCTACATGGAAAACTTAAAAGAATTTTCTCTAAATGTAAAAAAATAGGAAGTATTCATTTTGATAATATGATTGACTCCTAATATAGATTAATAATAAATAAAGATGTATAAATTACAGTTGTTGTGAAGTGGGATTTACGGTGTGCATTAACAATAAAAATGTTTACTCTTCAAATATTAGGGTGAAAAAAGACCTTGGAGAAAACAAAGAATTGATATGCATCTTCCAGCAGACAAAATAGGGTTGCATCTTAGAGGAGGCTATATCATCCCTACCCAGGAACCTGCTGTAACAACAACAGCAAGGTAAAAGTGAAGGACCAGTATATGCTTACATACATGAAAAGCTATTTACATTTTGCATGTAGTATGTATCATAACCTAGATTATAAACTCCATGTACATGGGGATTAATATTTTCACAATTTTTTCCCTACTGATTTGTTAAGGTATTTGACCCTCAACAGGCTATTTTCTGAAAATATTTATTGAGGAACAATTTCATGCATGAATCAATTTATGCTAGCAATTTGATATTCTGGTGTTGTAGAATTAGTTATTTCATAAACTGACTCTTAATTATGTCTTTCAAAATCGCTTCTGCTCCTGAGTTGCCCTGAGCAACAGAAACAGTTTGGTCAACATATATTAGTAGGAATATATTGGGTATGAAACAGTGGTTTTGATCCTGTAGCCTCAGACACACTGTCCTATGGTGATTCAGACCTAAGAAAGGTATTTAATTCACCCCATGCATTATTTCAGTTATAACTGACTTTGTATTTGCAATTTTTATGCATTCCTTCTAACATTTAAAAATACCACATTTTCATTATTTTTCATATGTTGTAGACTTAATATACTGCAAGTTCAGGTTAATCTGGTTGAATTGTACATTATTTTTACTTTGAATTTATAAGAATGTATATATACATGCCTATTTGTTGGTATGTGCACTATGTGTGTGCACTGCCTGTGGGGACCAGAAGACGGCGTCAGAGTCCTTAAAACTGGAGTTACGGGTTCCTAACATGGGTCCTGGAAATAGAACATAAGTCCTCTGGAAAACAGCAATTGCTTTTAAGCACTGAGTCATCTCTCAAGCCTCTAAGTTGAGCCTTTTTAAGTCAGACTAAAAGTTTAATTTGAACTGAAATGTATTGTTTAACTTTTTCAGATGTCATAGTCTTCACAGAATATATATCATAATTTTCATCTTTAATTTTTGTGTGCACTTTCAGTTATATAAACTGTCTTCCCTCATCTAAGAACATTGATATCATAAATTATCAATAGGGATTAATGGATATTAGTGTTCTTATGTGAACGCAGAACTACAAATTTCTTATGTTGTATTGGATTTACTCTAATGTATAAATTGATTAAATTTAATTTTTGATATATTCCTGTCTAATTTTACATTGCAGCCGTAAGAACCCTCTAGGCCTTATCATTGCATTGGATGAAAAGCTATCAGCAAAAGGAGACTTCTTTTGGGATGATGGTGAATCTAAAGGCAAGTCTCAGAGTGATGTGCTCATTTATTATGACGGTTTGATATTTAGATACAGTGACTTCATAATGATGTTTTTATGTTACTTTACAAAGTATGCATCACATGATTTATCAATGTAACTTGTATAGGTTTGTAAAATGATATTTTCAAAATGTCTTTGGCTAAGGTATGTTTTATGGTGCATATAATTTTAATACGGTTAACAAAATTTTCCAGAGGTAGGAGTTACATCTAATCTTTTTGAGAAATATTTACAAAATTTGTGAAAGTCTCTATAATCTTTAAACATATAATTATATTAATGAAAACAGAAAAAAAACCAAAGAACAATATTTTCATCTATAGTTAATATCAATTTCAGATTATTTAAGGCAAGGAAGTTTAATCTTTCTTCCATTGTTCAGTGTCCATTCGCTTATATTTTGAGAATTGAGTATACCAAAAATTAATTAACTAAAAAACTAAATAATTAACTAACCAGTTAACTCATTTAAAACAACCATAAACAATTTTATTCTATTATGCAATTCAATTCTATTAACTTTGATTTTACATTTAATTATTTATAATTTAAATAAAAAATTGAATTTATTTTACCACCTATATTAACATAGTGTCATTAGTCAATGGTTTTATGTAAGCGTTCAAATATTGTATAGTTTCCACTTATACTCGGTATTCCTTGAATTTCCTTCTCAATTTTTTTTTTCAAGTTCTTTCAAATTCTTTTAGTTCTAATCTTCAATTTTCTTATAGGGAGATCTTGTAAAAATTTTATTATATGTGTGATACAGAAATCATAATTTTCTCTCATTTCCCTAGTCAAAGATTATTTCTTTACAGATTCAATTTAAGTTCTAACATCTCTGAGGATTCACTCACTTTCCCAATGATGAAAATAATTAATAAATAGATGTGAGATAAAATTGTGCTGCACCGTGTCTTCTTAGGAAATACAGCAAAATATACAAATATTTTTCAAAATAACAAACAGTAACAGCACATCATTTAGAACTCATTTCATTATTGGTTTGTTTCTGGAGACACGATATCATGTACCCAAAACTGCCTGAGGATTACCTAGGACTTCAGATTTTTCCCGTCCCTGCCTTCCAAAGCTAGTATTAGGAGACTGCACCAAGACAGTTGGCTAGAATAACGTTTAGTTTTATCTGAATTTCCAGCATATTTTATCACTCACCGAAAATTAAACTATTTAGCATGCATTTATTATTACTAATAAAGAAATAAGATGCCAAGAATATTTTAATATCAATTTTATTTATTCTTTGAAAATTTCATACAAGTACACAAAATATCTCAATCTTATCTACCACACACTGTCTCCCTCCACTTCCACCTAATAACCCCCAACACATCCTCATTCCGTCTTCCATCATCCTTCTTCTTTTGCCTCTTCATTTTTCTCTTCTTCTCATCATAATTATTACTAACTTTCAGTTCAGTTAATAAAAATATAAAAGTAAAAGTTGTTGGGAATTGATTAATAAATACTTTCTATTGTTTTGCTTTCTATTGACTTTTGTTAATATATTCTGATCATGCTTAGTTAGACCCCTTTCCTATTCTGCACTCCACATGGAAATCATATCTAACTTGCTATATAATTGTGTAAGTGATTAAAAAAAGAGAATTTAATTCATTTAATTTGTTAACTATTTCTTTTTCAATTTCAGATACCATAGAAAAAGGCAACTATATATTATATACATTTTCAGTGTCTGATGTAAGCATTATTTTGTAAACAATTAAATATGTATTTAGCTAATGTCTAGGTCATAATTTATTATGGATGTTTGGAAAATGTTTAAATTTCCCTCCAGTTTTCAATGAAATTCTTTAAAATAAATTGTTCAATTAATTGTTAAACTTAAATTATTAAATAATGAACAAACTAAAATTCTTAAAATTTTTATTAGCTCAGTATTGAATTTTATGATAAAATTTGTGTACTACAGTATTTGTACTTCTTAAAATCCACTTTTAAGCAACATGCACTAGGAACATAATTTAAATATCCTTTGTCTGTTTTAATATTCCAGTCACAGTGATAATTGGTGTATATTTAGATAAGGATAAAAAATTGTGCATCTTTAAAATTTAAATATTTAATTTAAATAATATTT